GACAAATCTCTCATACCAATCTGCTAGAGCAGCGGTTCTCAAGCTGTGGGTCATGACCCCTTTGGGGGGTCGAATGACCCTTTCACAGGAGTCATGTGATTCATAACAGTAGCAGAATTACAGTTATGAAGTAGTAACAAAAATAATTTTATGGTTGGGGAGTCACCACAACATGAGGAACTGTATTAAGCTGTTGAGAGATTCAGTGGATTGAAGTGTCTTATCCATCACAGAATATTTTTACTTTCTTTATAAGTTCGTAGTTATTGCATCAACAGCATGTGCTTTGTGGTATGTTAGAGTGCTTTACACTTAAATAATACATCACTTTCATAGGAAGGTTGAGAACCACTGTGCTAGAGGAAAGATCAGGAAAAAACATAGCAACAAAAAAAACCTGAAGAAAATTTAAGGATTACGTGGGATATCATCAGGAGTAATAACTTGGGTACAATCAGATTTCCAGAACAAAAAGAAACCAATAACACAGAGAAAACTGACAAACAGAAGATATCCATTCAAGTAGCTGCATGAACCCTGAACAGGACAGACACCTCCTACCCCCAAATGAAGTCATGACAACATATCAAAAGCAAGCTTTCCAAAGCCAAGACAAGGAAAAACATCTTGAGAGCAGTTTGGGAAAAATGTAAAGCTTCCTACAAAAAGGAACCCATAATCTAAGTTCTGGTTTTGAAGCAGAAACCATACAGAGGAGGAGGTAATGGAAGGACATAAAAAAAAACTCTGAAAGAAAAAAAATTGCAAGCAAGAAACATGTACCAGCAAAATTACCTCTCAAATACAATGGCAAAAATTAGGATGAATTGGCTGCTAAAAATCTTATGGATTGCACTGAACCATTGTCAGATACTAAAGACTTAATTAATACAACAGAACATTGTCAGAGATATTGCAAGAAGATCAGCCCCTCAGGTCAAAGGGCAATCAAAATATGACCGAGGAAAAATTGCCTTCTCCAAGTGGAGTCGGCCCTAATAATGAGAATGAAGTACAGCCAGTGGCAGGACCTTCATTTGCTGATGGGACACACTCAGAATGGGAGGAAACAGCTGCAAAAATCTACCAAGCATCAGAACTTCCAATGTACAAAGTATGAAAATTTGTCATCAGGATTTAAATAGAATGTATAAACATCGGTACCCTAGGTGTTGGTGAGCTGAAGGAGACTGGTATTGGCCATTTCGAATAAGAAAATTACATGGTTTATTATGCTGGTAATGGTACAATCAAGAAGAATGACAGTGCATTAATCTTCATAAAGGACACTTCAAGATCTATCTTGAAGTACAATGCTGTCTGTGACAGGATTATATCTATTTGCTTTCAAGGAAATCCAATCAATACAACTATTTTTCAAATTTATGCACCAACTACTAAAGTTAGTAATGAGGAAATTGAAGAATTCTAACAATACATTTAGTCTGAAATAGATAAAGCATGCAATCAAGGTGCACTGACAATTAAGATGCATGGATAACTATTGGCAATTGAAACACAAGAGTTGGAAAGAAAGATGAAGGAACACTCGGTGGAAAGTATGGTCTGTGTGATAAAAACAAAGCTGGAGATCACATGATAGAATTTTGCAACATCAACAACTTGTTCATAGCAATTATGCCGTTTTTAAACAACACAAACAATGACTATACACATGACTTCTCCAGATGGAATGCACAGAAATCAAATTGACTACATCTGTGGGAAGAGACGGTGGAGAAACTTATTATCAGTAGCTAAAACCAGGCCAGGAGCAGACTGTGGGACAGACCACTAATTGCTCATATATAAGTTCAGGTTGAAGCTGAAGAAAATAAAAAGTCCACAAGAACCCAAATATGACCTTGAGTCTATTGAATCTGAGTTTTGAGAACATCTCAAGGACAGACTTACTGCATGGAACATTAATGACAGAAGACCTGATGAGCTCTCGGGAAGACATCAAAAACATCATTCATGAAGAAAGCCAGAGATCACTAAAAAGGCAAGGAAGAAAGAATGATCAAAATAGATGTCAGAGGCGGCTCTAAAACTTACTCTTAATCATAGAGTAGCCAAAGCAAATGGAAGAAATAATGAATTCAAATCATTGAACAGAAATTTTCAAAAGGTATCTCAAGAAGACAAAGTGAACTATTAGAATGAAATGTGCAAAACCTAGAGTTAGTAAGCCAAAAAGGAAGAACATGCTTAGCATCTCTGAAGCTAAAAGAAGTCTTGAGAAATTCAAGCCTCGAGGGGCACTATTGAAAGGTTATATGGGCAAAATATTGAATGATGCAGGAAGCATGAAAAAAGATGGAAAGAAAACACAGAATCACTATGCCAACAACAACTAGTTGACATTCAATCATTTCAGGAGGTAACATAGGAATAAGAACCAATGATGTTGAAGGAAGAAGTTCAAGCTATCCTGAAAGCATTAGCCAAAAACAAGGTTCCAGGAAATGATGGGTTACCAGTTGAATTGTTTCAACACACTGATAAAGCATGGAAGCACACATTTGTCTGTGGCAGGGAATTTGGAAAACCTCTAATTGGCCAACTGACTGGAAGAAAACCATATCTGGACCCATTCCAAAGAAAGGCGACCCAATAGAATGCTCAAATTATAGAGCAATATCATTAATATCACATGCAAGTTAAATTTTGCTGAAAATCATCCAACCATAGTTACAGCAGTACATTGAAAGAGAGCTGTCAGTGGTTCAGGCCAGATTCAGAAGAGAAAGTGGAACAAGGGATAGCAGATGGATCTAGCCTCAAGGCAGAGAATACTAGAAAGAAGTTTACTTGGGTTTTATTGACCATGAAATGGTATTCGATTGAGTGGATCACAATAAAATATGGATAGCATTAAGAAGAATGGGAATTCTAGAACACTTCATTGTGCTCATGCAGAACCTGTACATGGATCAAGAGGCAGTGGGGACAGAAAAAGGGAATACTGAAGAGTTTAAAATCAGGAAAGGTGTACATCAAGGTTGCATCCTCTAACCCTACTTATTCAAACTATATGCTGAGAAAATCATCAGAGAAGCTGAATTATATGAAGAAGAATTCAGCACTGGGATTGGAGAAATGCTTATTAAGAACCTGAAATATGAAAACGGCACCGCCTGGGTTGCTGAAAGTGAAGAGGACTTGAAGCACCACTAATGAGGATCAAGGATTACGTTTTTCAGTATGGATTACAACTCAATGTAAAGAAGACCAAAATCCTCACAATTGGACCAATAACATCATGATAAAAAGAGAAAAGATTGACGTTGTCAGGAGTTTTATCTTGCTTAGATCCACAATCAATGCTCAAGTAAGCATCAGTCAAAAGACCAAATGACTCATTGCACTAGGTAAATCTGTTGTACAAGACCTCTTTAAAATATTGAAAAGAAAGGATGTTACTTTGAGAACTGAGGTGTAATGGATTCAAGACATGGTGTTTTCCATTGCCTTGTATGCATGTGAAAGTTGGTATTGGATCATGAAGACCAAAGAAGAGTTGATATAGTTGAATTGTGGTGCTGGTGAAGAATATTGAAAGTGCCGTGGACCACCAAAGAACAAACAAATCTGTCTTGAAAGAAGTACAGCCAGAAGGTTCCTTAGAGGTAAGGATGGCGAGACTTCGTCTCCCATACTTTGGACATGTTATCAGGGTAGAACAGTCCCTGGATAAGGACATCATGCTTGGTAAATGAGAGGGCAGCAAAAAGAGGAACACCTTTGGCAAGGTGGATTTGCACAGTGGCTGAACAATTGTGAGGATGGTGCAGGACCAGACAGTGTGCAGTTCTCTTGTACAGAGGATGACTATGCTTTGGAATCGACTCCAGGGCAGGTGTGTTAGTCCAGGTACATTAGAGAAACAAATCCACAGAAACTCATGTGTATAACAGAGAGTGTTATATAAAGGGTAAGTGCACATCAAGAAAACATCCCAACCCAGTGCTGCCCAAACCCACAAGTCCAACATTAACCCATTTGTCTGACACCAATCCACAAAGTCCTCCTCCATCTTACAAAACACACACTGTGACGCTGACTGCAGGAGGAAAGCCAAATCAGTGAAAGTGTAAGCATCTCAGCGCTGGCAGGGGTCTCCACACGGCTGCTCCAGCACCCAGGGCTGCATCA